GAAAGAGCTCGAATTCCTCTTTTAATCCTACAGCCTGCAGGAGTTGAGTGTACCTATAGTCAAGCAACTAAACCTTGAAAACATCAAGATGGTGACTTTGTAAAACTGCATTTCAGCTGTGGAAATTTTTAAGCTTTAGTGAGTGATTAGGTCCTGGTTTTCTTGGAATTATTCTATATAGGGACTCAAATGTAAGTCATTATTATTTATCCTACTGCTTGAGAGGTCATGTAAATGGGGGAAGAAGAAATAAGAGCCATTTAAAATAATGTAAATCTAGCTTGACTGTGTAGTTTTCAATTTACATTTAAATATAGTCTTAGCTTATATTCTGGAAATTTAGTATACTCTTACAGACCTTAGTCTATTTTTCTACTTCTTCCATTACTTACACATACATATGCATGCTCTGTGTGGATGTATGAATACACACACACACACACACACACACTTTTTCAACAAACAATCGAAAAATAAACACAATTTTTTTTGTGTTCACCAGAGAGAGACAGTGAGTGGGGAGATGAGAAATCAACACCTCCCACCCCCAGGAGGGGGAATGGCCACGCTACAATCCCTCTTTCTCCATTCTCATTCTGGATTTTGAGCATGTACACACACACCCCTCAGGATGATTTTCAGGCCACTGGGTCTGGGACTCGAACCATGGTGAGCCATGCTGAAATCTAGTATCTTAACCACTATGTACCAGCTGGCCCCATATATACTGGCTTACAACTTTTTTTTATGTAGCAACATTGCAGAAAACAATATACTAAATTCTTTTTCAAATAGCTGCCTATAAAGTCCGTTAGCTAATATGCATACATATCATGTATATCTTTAATCCACTTGTTATTGATGGACATTTAGGTGGCTTCTAGTGTTTCATTATTTCAAGCAATGCTACAGTATTGTATCCTTTTTCCTATTAGAAAGGAATATTCCTTATTGTAAATTTGGTCAAATTCTTCATTTCAAAGACAGAAAAATATGAAGAAAATAAAAATCATGTAGTTGTAATCCTGTATCTAGAGATTTCTTTAATATTCTGATAAATTTCCTTCCAGGCTTTTTTCAAAGTATTTGTGTGTTAACAAAATTGATACCATGCTATTTATAGAGTTTTTTTCTACTTAAGTATACTGTGGGTATTTCCTAACATCCTTAAATCTTTTCTTTTGAAAATTTTTCTTTTCTTTATTTCTTCTTTTTTTTTTTTTTTTTTTTTTTTTTTTTTTTTTTTAGGGGTGTTTTTTTTTTTTTTTGAGAGAGAGTTTTGCTATAGGGCACATGCATTTGCCAGAGAAATAGAGAAAAAGAGACAAATTGAGGAATCATTCCTTCCTCCTCCCCACTAGGGGAGATGTCTATGCCACAATTCCTTCTCTTCCATTCTTCTCTCTGGATTTTGTACACACATGCACACGCACTCAGCGTGAGTTTTAAGCCACCGGGTCCGGGACGCGAACTGCGGTCGACTACGTGGGAGTCCAGCGATATAACCATTATACCATCTGCTGGTCCCCTTTTTTCTACACATTGTATTTTGTCTTTCATGAATGTCTACCTTTGTCTTTTGTTCATTTTTCTATTGGAATGTTAATTTGCATTTTATATTGATTTATAGTAACTCTATATAGTAAGATTGTTAACCCTTTTTCTTATATTTGTTTTGGTTATCTTTCCTAATTTTTCATTTGCCTTTTCATTTTATTTACAGAACCACTGTTAGATTTTTCTGTTTAATTCATTAAGGAGTACATTTATTAATATTTCAAATATTTAAAATTAGTTTGAAAACTGTATTTCTTTTCTTACATGCTTATTTTTAAAGTTTATATCTTACATTTTTTATGTATCAACTATGTTATTTTCTTTTATAGTTTTTCTTAGATTTAAATTGAGTTCAAGAAAAGTTGTAATAGTAATAATAGACACATTTGAAAGTACTTATTAGGAGAAGTTTCAAGTGTTTTATACATAATATATATATACTCTTTACAAAAATCCTGTGAAATAGGTAATATTATCTCTACTTTATTGATGAGGAAACTACGGCAAAAAGAGCATATAGATAGAAGTGACATAAACTAGATTCAAACTCAGGCAGCCTGGTTTGTGAACCCACACTCTTACTCACTACATTATATTGCTATCTGTATTACTGGTATATTACCTACAAAAGGAAGATTTGTATAAACTCTTCAAAAAGAAGGTATGTTAAATTAGAGGGACTATTTTTTCTAGTTGTTTTTATTCTTTATAAAAGAATGGGATAAAATGTTCTTTAAAACTTAACATTTATTTGTTTGTTCATTTATTTGTTGTGATTTTTAAGCCAGTGGGTCTGGGATTTGAACTACTGTTGGCCGTGTGGGAATCCAGCACCTTAGCCATCATGCCACCTTCTGGCCCTCTAGTATAAAAGGTTCTTAGGGTCACTTGACATCGCCAACTCCCATCCAAATTTAAGAGATCCATGAACTTGGTTGAGAAAAAAACCTACATCTCCATTTTCATTAACCTTTAGCTAAAATTGAACATTTCCTTCAATTTTGAATGGAGAAAATCAACTACAATAGTATTAGCAGTACCTCAGACTTGAAACCACAGATTTTTAATATTACAGATACTAAATATAACATATCAGTTGTTCTAGGTATCCTCAAGTAGTTTTTTTCTCATCACTACCTTGACATTATAGTAGTTATGTTAGATTCACTGTTAGATCTTTCAGTTTAATGCATTAAGAAGCACATTTATTAATATATATGTGTTTGTGTATATGTATATATATGTATATGAGAGGTTTTTTTGTTTGTTTGTTTGTTTTTTGCTGTAGGGCGCATGTGCTCGCCAGAAAGATAGAGAGAGACAGAGAGATAGAAAGCAAGAAATTAGCCCCCCTGGGGGGATGACCACACTGCAATCCCCTCTTCTCCATTCTCCTCTCAGGATCATGGGCACACGCACATGCACACACACATGCCTGGCGTGAGTTTAAGCCACCAGGTCTGGGACTCAAACTATGATCAACTACATGAGAGTCCAACGATATGGCCATTACACCAACCACTGGTTCCCCATTTATTAATATTTAAAATATTTAAAATTATTTAGAAAACTGTATTTCTTTTCTTCTTATATGTTTATTTTTTTAACTTTATTTATTCCTTCCTGGGGAGAGAGAGAAAAAAACTTTTCTTCTAGGCTTTTTTCCTATATCACCTGGTTCTGGTCCTATAATTGGGGGCGGGGGGATGATTTAGATCCAGATATTTATTTATACTGTGGTCAACCAAAGAACAAGAGAGAGCACCCCTAGTCGTTGCCACAGTCCACTCTGAGCTTCAGCAGGCCCCAGATCATGGGCAAGCGTGTGCCTGGTGTACTCAGGGATTTCTTCATGCTTGAACTGAGAACCTTACCATGGGATTGCCTCCAGAGTGTTGTGTTTTATTACTGTGCCACTGCCTGGCCCCTAAAAACTGTATTTCTGGAAAACTGATTTCCTTTGTAATCCTATGTATTTTATCTCATGCACTTAAAAGCGATTTCTGAGCAACGGTTCATAGGCTTCACCAAATCACCAAAGGAATCCATGGCATAAATATTGTGGAGAGTCCCTGTCTAGATGCAAAACACGCCACTGGGCTTCAGGAAATACTCATTAGGTGTCAAGTAATGAAGAGGTGATTTGAGAGGACCTGGAAGATAGTGCAGCATTGTCCTCTCCAAAGCATTCATTCTTTTACCTCTGGAATAATTCTCTTTGTCATGTAGACAGAACTGCTTAGTCTCTTCTCTCCCCTCTTCTCTCCTGTTTTCTTCCTTCCACTTTCCACTTAGTACCTTTATTCCTCTCCTTTTCTTTTTTCCTCATTTTTCTTCCTCCCCCACTTTGCTCTTTTTCTTTTTTTTTTTCTCTTCCTTTTTCTCTCCCCCATAAAAACATTGGTATCTTAAGGAATTCATGTTGTAATTTTTTTTTTTAAACTTGTCCTCTTTCTAGTTAAAGAATTCATTTAAAACCAGAAAAGATTGATAGAAAGAGTTAATAATAACAGCCAGAAGTTGAAAACAAGATTTGCAAGAGATAAGTGTAAGATATTTACCTGGAGGTAATTAAGAACTAACTTCAGAGGGCACTTACCTGATCTGTTTGTGTGGCCCCAGGAAAACCTGTTTACCCTGGTTCTCTTCCCATAATTCCAAGTCTGCTTCTATACCTGATTTATCCAACTCCTTTTGTAAATGATTTTACTTGTAAGACAATCATTCACTCTATTTTTTTTTAAGTGCTCACAGGGAGAGACCTGTTTTGAGAGAATGAGACAATTAGACTTACTGTGTAATTATCTAGTCATTGAGTTGCAGTCATTTCTTTGCGATTAGTTCAAAAGCACATGTTTAGTTATGGACAAAAGTGATCAGTCTTCTCACCTAAAGTGGAACTTCTGCTCTCTGTAATGAGTTAGTATTTGGTTTCTGAAATGCCCATACTCTGGTCTCACCTATCTGCTGCAATGTAATTGTCATTGGTCACAGATGTATGGCCAAAGAGTTTTTCTTTCGTAATTTCTACATCTGGGATAATGCCATTTTTCTACACTAAAAACATTAGCTCGTCTTACAGCTAATATAAGCTGAAAATTAGAGGTGCCTGGGGGAGGGAAATGAGGCAGATGGATTGTTTACATGAGTGCTATAGTTTCACGTTTTATGCACTAGTCACCTTGGAAGAATTAATGTCCTGTAAGTTTGCCAATCAGATTGCTCCAGTCATCTCTAAACATTCCATTTGGTTTATTAGAATAATAAATACTGTGCAAAAAAAAAAGTTCATCTGGATCCAGATATTTATACTGTGGTCAACCAAAGAAATATGTGCAGCACCTTACCTCTGACTAGACTTGATCAGGTGACACAGTGAGTCTGACAAGCGGGTACTGATTTACTCTGTTTGGGTGTCGAATCTGAGGACTAATCTCTGTGTTGTAGCCCTTAGAAATCTTGGTCACCTGTCCAGGGCTAGTGCTGATGGACACTTCTGGTCATTTCTGTCATGCTCCTCACCTATGATGTCTGCTGAGTGGTTCCCTTGGAAAAAATGAAGAGGTCTGTCTTCATTCTGAAAGGTGAATTTGGGTATCTGTAGTTAACCCCCGCAAAAAGCTGATGGAAAAGTCCATTAGATGTTTCCTCTGTTTTGATGCCATGAATTAATTTCAGCTGGGGGCGTTTCAGTTTGCATATCTGACTTTCAGGTCCTTCAGCATTGTGTTCCTTCTCATTTAATTCAGGCTCCTTCCAGCTGTGCCTCAGCAGCTGTTCTCTGTCAGGGAATAGCTCTGGAAGTCACACTGCTTGGTCCATTCCACTCAGTCCTTTCTCTTAAGCTGCTCTCCTCATCTGCAGAACTTCACTCTCTTATCATGTTGTCAAGGCCCAGATCAAATCCTACCTTCATCACAGGACTTCTCTAATATTTTAATAACTTTGTCAATCTCTCTTGATTCTAATTTTTTACAGAACTGACAACTGGTACAAAAAGAACTTCTGACACAGGAATCAATCAAATAGAGTCAGATAAACACTAAAGTCATCAATATAAAACCTGGTTTTATTCAAAGATCTTATATATATTAAAAGATCTTAACTAATCGATATTTCTTCATATTTTAACATTTTATTGCTAGAGAACAGGGTCCAGGAAAATGGAATAAAATCTGAAATTAAAAAGACAAAAACAACTAAAAAATGACTAATCAAATTAATTGCAATGTTATTTATAAAGTAAAACAATTTTTAATGTCTGACAATGAAAGAAGGAAATTTTGCTATACATACTCAATGCATTATTTTATGTTTATATTGATTGATTATTTTGAATCATGTGATGATTTTTAGGACTGAATTGATCATAATTTTTATATAATGTTAAGCAATAAAAGAATAATATAAAATTATAATAATGTGCATACGTAGAACAAGATGAGAAAGGAATGTGGATAAATGAAAATAGTTGCTTTGTTAAGGTAGTGGGATTGGAAATTTTTTTTAGTTAAAAGATTTCCCTTGTATTAGTCTTATAAAACCCTAAAGTTTATAATGTGACTGTATTAGGGTTTTGAAGTTTTGGGATCTTCACTCAACTATAAGCTCAGTAAAGGTGGAGTCCAAGGGAAAAAAAAAATTCAATGGACACAAAATGGAAAATTATCTATTGATGACAGTGTGTGTGGTAATTTCTTTGACTGGACTAATACACAGGGTATCATTCTGGGAAAATTTTTTTGCAATGTTGTAAAGATAAACACTGTGAAGGATGAAGTGGCAGTAGCAGGGGAGAAGGCAGGTGGTTAAGGCACTAGACTCCCACATGTCTAACTGCAGTTCGAGTCCTGGACCTGGCAGCTTGAAAATCACTCTGGGCGCATATGGGTTAGTGCCCAAAATTCCAAGAGGAGAATGGAGGAGAAGGGATTGTGCCATGGCAGGGCAGGGTGGAGGAGAGGTGATTTCTCACTTTCCTGTTCACTTTTTCACTGTATCTCTCTGGCAAGCACATAAACCATATGGCAAACAAAATAAAATTTAAAAATGGTCCTTAAATAAATAGATAAAACCTTTTGTAAAGTCACATCATCTCAAGAATAGACTACAATGCAGGCCATGATGTCGAATTATGTGGGTGGGGTAGGGTGGAGTGGGGTGAGTGTTCATCAGTGAATACTGCACCTTTCCTACCATCTTCCCACTCATGGCTTTCCCACAGATTCCTTCTTATTGGAAGGCTGGTCACAGCCAACGCTGTGAGGTGGTTTACTGAAGAGTATTATTCTCTCTCCTTCACTCACTGGTGCTGTTTATATTTTTGTGGTTGTAAAGAATAAAGACTTACTTAAGCTAGCTCAAATAACAAGAAGGCATACTGCAAAGAAGATTCTCTTGGAAATTCAAGAACAGGGGCCGTGATAAGGCAGAATTTCATGGAGGCTGATACGAGAAGGTGGACTCAGGAGCAGGAATCTGTGACTCCTCATGTATCAGCCACAGTCTGGGCAGCTTCTTGTATGCACCTGCTCTTTTTCTCTCTTAAAGTCACAGTGTCTTGCTGTGTTGGCCAGGTTGGCTTTGAACTCATGATCATCCTGAGTAGCTGGAAGTACAGGAGGTATGTCACCATGCTCAGCTGCAAGTAGTTTCTTTTGGACCTATCTCCCACTGGCAGATTTTCTTCTCACATTTTTGCCCTTAACTTAGTTGCATAACTCTAGACTAGTGAACTTTAGCTCAGGAATAGGTCATCCTGGTCTGAAAAATGATCCTGTAGGCCACTGGCAGTGGTGTCTCCAGAACTTTTATGTAAGAAGCTTAGGAGCAGGGACCTTGTTGAAGGGAAGAAAGGGAGGATGTTATTTTATATCAAATTTTGCATAAATAAATAAAATGTACATAAAGTGTATTTTTTCTGTTGCAGTGAGGGGAGGGGAAGCGACATGTCTTGTACCAACACTGTCATAAGGAACTGTAAGTGGGCTTTCTTAGGAGACAGGATTGTGGTAGGCCAGATCAAAGTGGTTAGTATAGGGACATGAGACAAATTGTCACCTATTCAAGAATAGGATTAAAACATTGCTGATAGGGGCCAACAAGTTGCATGGTGGTTAAGGTGCTGGACTCCCATGTGGCCAGCTGCGGGTCAAGTCCCGGACCACTGGCTTGAAACTCATACTGGGCACATGTGTATGCATGCCTAAAATCCCAAGAGGAGAATGAAGGAGAAGGGGTTGTGGTGGGGCCATCCCCCTTGAGATGATTTCTTATTTTCTGTCTCTCTTTGTCTCTCTGGTGAGTACATGCACCCTATAGCAAAAAATCCACCCTCCATCCAAAAAAATTACTGATATTTAGACCCAAATTTAGACTCTGAGTTCAATCAGAAATAAGAGTTAGGTTCCCATTAGAGATGTAAAAACATGGGTTCAGGAGATGACATAATGGTTACATTGCTGGACTCCCACATAGTCAACCACGGTTTGAGCTTAAAACCCAGCAGCTTAAAACTCACACCAGGCAAGTGTGCGTGTGTGTCCAAAATTCTAAGAGTAGAATGGAGGAGGAGAAAAGATTGCATTATGGCCATCCCCCCCAGGGGATGATTTCTCACTTTCTGTCTCTCTGTCTCTCTTGTGAGCATATGTGCCCTATAGCAACCCCCCTCCTCCCCCCAAAAAAGATGGAAAAACATATAAAGCCTAAACTTGAGTAAACAAGACAGATGAAATGTCAGTTTCTTAACTATGGAGATGATCAGCTTCCTGGTCTCTGCTAGGCTACTGACCCCCTTGTTCTCTGCATTATGCCTGCAATCATTCTTGATGACCTCTTTACCCATCTACCCAGTATCCTGGCTGCCCAGGATAACCCCTTCCTCCTATGGATCTTTCTTCTATCCTACTTCAAAAAAATTCATTCTCTTCATCTTACCTTATACCTGATATTACCAATTATACCATCCTCTCCTCCAAAGCCATAGCTTCAAGTGTCCTGTTCTCTAACCATCACCTCTTATTATTTATTCTATTTTCTTTACTTCAGCAATTCTTTGACCACGTCAACATCCCCGGAACAGTGATTATGCCATTTTTTCTTTCTTTCTTTCTTTCTTTCTTTCTTTCTTTCTTTCTTTCTTTCTTTCTTTCTTTCTTTCTTTTCTTTTCTTTTTTTTTTTTTTAAGATTTTTTTACGATGGGGTGGTGTGGCCACGAGAGAGAGAGAAAGTGAGAAATCACCCCCAGGTGGGACAGCCACACCACAATCCCTTCTCCTCTCTTGGGCATGCATACACATGCTGTGTCATTTTGAAGTCTCTAGGTCTGGAACTTTTACTGCTGTAGGCTACGTGGGATCTATCATGTCACCTGCTGGCCCTGATGATGTAACTTTTTCACTGTCATTAACTCTTCATCTCCTTATCTAAAACTGAGTCAATGGTCTATTGCCATTATCACTACTCGTATGTATCCTCAACTTCTTGTTAGCAGGACCTCTGTACTAGTCAAACCTAACTCTTTGCTCACTGTGTGCTCTAACTGAAGAAAAATACATTCAGATTAAATCTGTCTTTATAATCCTTAGTTGAATGACTTCAGTCTGCTCAGTACCAGTTCTAATATACCCTGTCTAAGATAACTGTTTTATGCCTTCTCCTTTCTCCAATTTCTAATACTTCCTTTCTACTCCTCTCTGATGACCTTTCCTCAAATTTCATTGAGAAAAATGGAGGCAATCAGAAGATATTAATTATTCTCCCACTAAGTCTGTCAATTCCATCTACATCAATTTCCTTATCCTATCTCAAGCCAACCCTCTACAGAGATCCCACCCACTCTTATCTTCTCAAAAATCTCATACCTGTAATTATTTTCTTTCTCTCCTCATTAATTTCTCCTTCTCCACTTTCTATCAGCATTAAAACATACTGGGATAGTGCTCATCTTTAAACTCTCGTACATTTTACATTTCTCCTTGAACTAACCATCTCAACTCAAAGGACTTAAGTCTTCACTCACTGTCTTTATTTCTATTCTTTTTTTTTTTTTTTTTTTTTTTTTTTTTTTTTTTTTTTTTTTGAGAGCTTTTTTAGGGCACATGCGCTTGCCAGACAGACAGAGAGATACAGAGAGACAGAAAGCGAGAAATCAGCCCCCAGAGGGATGGCCACACTGCAATCCCTTCTCCTCCATTCTCCTTTCGGGGTCTTGGGCATGCACGCACACGCGCCCGGTGTGAGTTTTAGCCATCGGGTCTGGGACTCCAACCGTGTTCGACAATGGGGGAGTCCAGCAACATAGCCATTACACTAACTGCTGGTCCCTACTGTCTTTATTTCTTCACCATTCATTCTCTTCTCCACCCACTCTGATTAAACTTTTGGTCCCACCCACCATCCTGAAACCACTCTTGTCAGGGTTACCTATGACCTAAGGCTTTCTTGTTGATTCCAATGGCCAGCCAGTTTTTGGTTTTATCTTATGTGCATTTTTTTTCTCTTTTTTTTGGAGAGGTTTTTTTTCTATAGGGTGCATGCGCTCACCAGACAGAGAGAGACAGAGAGACAGAAAGCGAGAAATCACCCCCTGGGGGGGATGGCCATGCCACAATCCCTTCTCCAATATTCTCCTCTCGGGGTCTTAGGCACGCACGCACACGCACCCGGCATGAGTTTTAAGCCACTGGGTCCGGGAGGCGAACCGTGGTCAACAACATGGGAGTTCAGTGACATAGCCATTATGCTAACTGCTGGTTATGTGCATTTTTTATAACATTTGACATAGTTGATCATTGGCATGGCTTCTCCATTTGGCTTGACTTGTGGGACATCATGCTCCCCCATTTTTTTTTCCTTCAGTGGTTGCTCCTCTTTATGTTTTACTGGCTCCTCGTCTTCCAAACTGGGAGTACTCCAGCGCTTGGGCTTTTACTTCTTCATTTTTTCTATCTCTATTTAAATATCAACTATTTACTCTGATAATTCCTATTCTCACCTCTCTTCTGGAAGGATTCTGAACCATCACCAAATGCCTCTTGATCTTGCCAGTTGAATGTCTAATAGACATCTCCAATTTAATATATTCAAAGCAGAATCCTTTATTCTTCCCAAAGCTGCTGCTTTTATAATCTTTGTGAACTCATGGCACACTGTCACTCAGTTGCTTAGGTCGACAACCTCGGAGACATCATCAATTCATATTTTTCTACTTCCTCTGTTGAATCCATCAGCAAGTTTGTCATACCTACTTTCAAAATAAACACTGAATCCACTGTCTTCTCAACCATTCCACCTCTACCCCCCGCAAGTCCAAGTGACCATCCTTAGTTACCTAAGCAAATACTTCCCTGTTTCTACTTTCTATTTTTGCCTCAAGTCTATTCTCCGTATAGTGGTCACAGTGGTCCTTCTTTCTAAAACAAATCATATCATATCACTCCTCTGCTCAAAACCCTCCAGTAGCTTCTCATCTCTCTCAGAATAAAATTCAGAATTCTCACCATAGGCTCTGAGGTCTTACCACCTTCTAACTGGATTCCCCTCGTAATTGCACTTGCTCTTGCCATTCCTCTAACATGCCAGGCCTGTTCTCACCCAAAACCTTTACCCTGCTCTTCTCTCTATATATTGCTTTTTTCTCAAGTAGTTTCTGGTCTTACTCCTTTAATTTCATGTGTCCACTCAGATGTCACTTCTTCCAAGAGGCATTTCCTGATACCTTATCTGAAATGATGTCTCTGTCCCCAATCCTTTTTCCCTGTATATATGTATGTCTATGTTTTTGGCGCTGGTTTGAGTGTTTTTTTTTTCCCATTACTTCATATTATATTTGTTTATATTCCTGTCATGCTAGGTCACAAACCACCCCAAAACAGTAGTTTAAAATGATAATAATAATGATTATGTTGCTTGTGAATCTAGAAGTAAACTCAACTGGTGAGTTTGCACACAGGACCTCTCCTGCAGCAGTGGAGCCGAAGGCTTCTCACTTACCTCCCTTGGACCTGGTATAAGAAGACTCAAACAGCTGGCAGCTTTCTCAAGGTCTCCCCACATGGTCTCTTTATATGGTAGTCTCAGGGTAGCATTCCTTTTTAGGTGGCAGCTGAAGGTGCTCAGTGTAGTATCTGAGAGGAAACCAGCAGAAACATCGTGGCTTCTTAACAATCTGACCTTGGAAGTCATGGTGTCACTTCAGTACTTTCTGTGTGTCAAGGTAATCCCAATGACCCACCCAAGCTCAAGAGAAGGACATATAGACATCATCTTTTTGGGGAGTAACATACATCTTAGAATTTGCACACAATTTAACATCAATATAATCTACCCTACTAAAATGCAAACTCTATAAAACAGGGACTTTGTCTTAGCCATTATTATAATTTCAATACCTGGGACCAGCAGTTAGCGTAATGGCTATGTTGCTGGACTCCCATGTAGTCGACTGCTGTTCAAGTCTCAGACCCGGTGGCTTAAAACTCACTCTGGGTGCATATATGTGCGTGCCCAAGATCCCGAGAGGACAATGGAGGAGAAGGGATTGCAGCATGGCCATCCCCCCCTGGAGGGTGATTTCTCGCTTTTTGTCTCTCTATCTTTCTTTCTGGAGAGTGCATGTGCCCTATAGCAAAAAAAAAAATAATAATAATAATAATAATAATTTCAATATAGCCAATTATATAAAAGTTGCCCTATGAATATTTGCTGAATGAAATGTATTGAGTTATATTGATACCTCTTTAAATAAAAGAGGGGTTGCTAAATGAACATGTCAGGCTGTCATCAATGAATAAAAGTCATTCTTTCTAAATTTGGGACTTTTCCTTTATTTCTTTCTACTGCTCTTAGCAATTCTATGTTTACAGTGCCCTCTACAAAGTCTCAATTCTCAGAAGAAAATCTAAATGTTGCTTTCAGATGCTTGTGAATGAGTTTTAAAGTGTTTGAAATCACATTTAAAGAGATCTTCAGGGGTTGGCCTGTTGTACACTGGTTAAGCCCTGTGCATAGAGAGCTGAATCCCACATGGCCAACCGTGCTGCAAATTCCAGCACTGGTAGCCTGAAAAACCTGCTGAGCACATGTACGTGTGCCCCAGATACTGATGGCATAGATAAATGGAGGAAGAAAAGGATTGTGGTGTGACCACACCTCACTGGGGGCGCTTTCTCTGACTTTTTCTTTTTCTCTCCCTGGTGAGCTCATACTGTCTCTGGTGAGAGCACATCTTCTGGCAATAAAACATATTTTTAAAGGAAGCATCAAAATTTTAGGAAGTGATACAGGGGAGTGAGGTCAGCATGCTAGTATTTCCCCACTCAGTCTTTACTCTATTAGATCTATCTGATCTCTTGATATTTGGAACTGAAAAAAAAAAAAAAGGCAAAGTGAAGGAAGATGATTTAAAAGTTTTCAGAGTAAAAATAGAGTATTTAATGAGTATTTAATCCCCCCTGGGGGGTGATTAATCTCTTTCTGTCTCTATGTCTGTCTCTGTCTGTCTGGTGAGCCCATGCGCCCTATAGTGAAAATCTCCCCCCCCCCAAGAAAAATAGAGTATTTAATAGCTTTTTGCTTTGGCTATCATGTCTGATTTAATCAGAAGGCATTTTTCCTTTTCTTAGAAAGAATTGAACAAGATTAAGTATGGGGGTCAGCAGGTGGCATAGTGGCTAAGGCACTGGATTCCCACATGGCTGATAATAGGTCAAGTCCCAAACCTAACAGCTTGAAACTCATGTCGAGAGCATGTGTGTGTGTGCCCAAAATCCTGAGGGGAGAAGGGATTGCAGTGTGGCCATCCCCTTGGGCGTGATTTCTCACTTTCTCTCACTCTGGTTCTGTCTATCTTTCTGGCTAGCACACACACCCTAGAGCAGAAATCTCTCTCAAAAAGAGAAGAAAAAGATTAAGAGAGTAAGGCCAATTGTAATCTGCCATGTGTGATTATAAATGGCAATAATTTCATATGGTCCCAAAGCAAGATGAATAGCAGGCCAAGGGTAAGTACGGTCTGTGGTGGACACATGCACAGAGAATCGCTAATATATTTTTACAGTAGCTGTGATCTATTCAAAGAAGCTGGCAACATATTTTATAAAATAAACTTTTAGTCATCCTAGAAAATTTTGGTAAGTGACCATTTCATTTATTTTAGTCTTTTTTTTTTTTTTTTAAATTTCCAGTTAAGTTATTTCCCAGTAGATATTTATGTAAAAATTTTCTGAAGACTAAATGATGTAGCCCAAAATTGGTATCATCACTTCTATGCCATTTGAAAAAGTTGCCTTCTGAAATCTGTAGCTCTCCTCAACCACATCCTTCTTGTTTGTTGTTTTGCTTTGTTTTGAATTTGGAAGTTAATGTAATACTCATCGAAAAAGCTAGATTTGGAAAACTCACTTCACGTGTGGTTTTCTATCTCACAAAGCTGGGGTATGTGAAACTTTGAGCAAGGAAGTGGTTGTGAGGAAAAATAAGAAGAGGACTTCTCAGGAGGCTGAGGCAGGAGGATCATGAGCACGCAGCCATGGGCAGCATAGCGAAACCTTGTCTTAAGGAACCAGGTGTGGTGGGTGTGCTGATAGTCTCATAGTCTCAGCTCCCTGGAAGGCTGAAAGGCTGAGGCATGTGGATCATGACACAGTGGGACTGCTAAAATGCTACCTCCCCACCAACACACACACACTGAATAAAAAGAGAACTGAAGATTTAGGTTCTGATTTTGTTGCATCTACTTTGTATCATTTATCACATCACTTTGAGCTCTAATTTCCTTATGTATTAAAGCAAGGGTAAAAATGGAATTTATACCTACTGTTATTATTACAAGCATTAAATAGCCCATACAAAGTAACTTGGATAACTAAGATGATGCCTGGCACATTAAAAGATACTAGATAGCTGACCTTGGTGGCACAGCAGTCATGCAACACAATGCCCAATGATGGTGAAGCCCATAGGAAGGTCCCAGGTTTGTGTCCTGAGATCTTCCTGTACCTGCCAGATACATGTGCATGGGCCATGATCCTGGCCAGCTAATGCTGGGGTAGATGCAGCAGAAAGACCCTGTTGAAGATACCTGTCTGTCTTCTTCTCTGTATCTCTCTCTCTCTCTCTCTGTGTCTATCTCATGGAAGAAATAAATAAATAAACTGAAATAAAGAAGGTATTCAGGAAAATATTTGTTTATTCATTCAGTCATCATTATTTGTTTCTATCATTCTACTCTATCCTTTGTTGTTATTGTTTTTTCTTTGTTGGAGAGTTTTTTGCTATAGGGTGCGTGTGCTTGCCAGACAGACAGAGAGACAGAAAGCGAGAAATCATCCCCCAGGGGGGATGGCCACGCCGCAGTCCCTTCTCCTCCATTCTCCTCTCGGGATCTTGGGCACGTATGCACACGCACCCGGCGTGAGTTTTAAGCCACTGGGTCCGGGACTTGAACCGTGGTCGACTACGTGGGAGTCCAGCGACATGGCCATTACGCTAACTGCTGGTCCCTCCTTGATTCTCTAGTTAGCTATTCCAGTGTCTTTTATAGCTCAGGTTATAAGGACATATAAACTTGTTGTGAATGGTTCTGATGGCCTTCTGTATATTATATTATGAGTAGATTGTTGTTATAGTAATATATGATTTTTTTTTATTGACAGAGGGTGCATGCACTCACCAGAGAGAGACAGAGAGAACACAGAGGGTGATGGAGAGGGAGAAAGCATACCCATGGAGAGGAGTGGTCATGCTGCAATCTCTTCTCCTCCATCTCTCCACCCTGTCAGGATTTTGCTCATGTTCACACAGGTGTCCAGTATGTCTCTTCAAGCACCTGGGTCCAGGACTCAAATTACACAATTGACTGTGTGGGATCTAGCTCCTGTAACCACCAGGCCATGCATGGGCTGTCTCAAGTGAATCTTTTTTTTTTTTAATAAGTTTATTATTATCTTTTTTTCTTTCATGGGGGCAGGGAAGTACCCTTGACAGGGTCTCACTATGCTGCCTTCTTGCTCCTAGCCTACCAACCAGCCAGAATCATAGATGAGCCTAGTGCATTCAGGTCATCCCAGAATGCAAACTTGGATCTGCCATGTGGCTCCAGTACCATGCAGTGGCACCATATCACCCTACCACCACTGTGGCTAGCACAATAAGTGAGTCTTAAAGTGAGTACCTTTTGGGCCTCACCTGACACTTCCAGTCTACCGTGTGTATTTATATGTTTGTGTTATGCCTCCCACCATTAAGTTTTTGGTGCAGAGCTGACTCACTCTTTCTCATCTGAATGTCCGTGGCATTTTGTGCTGAGCCTGGTCTACAATATATACTTAAGAAAGATCTTGTGAATTGACTTTCAACAGGCATCATAAAAGGAAATGGGGGTATTTTTATGGGTCAAGGAAGAAGGCATCATGTAGCTAATGGTTTTGTTATAGCCATGCTTGCTTCTCCCATAATACCCAGAGATTAGAGCCCTATGGTTTTAATGAATCTGATTGGACCTGGTAGGAAAAAACGTAGGTTTGGTTAACATCGTAGGGGCTTAGTTCTGTTGGAGACCTCAGTCAGGGATATACCTGATATTCCTGACAGGTGATGGCTCTGTGTCTCTGATCTCCCTCTCCTCTTTTCAGTAAGCAGAAAAGAGAAACGATATATAGTCATGTGCCATGTAATGACGTTTCAGTCAATGGTGGACCATGTATATGACAGTGATTCCATAGGAGCATATAAGCAATGCCATGCAGTCCTGGTGTGTAGTGGGCTATACTATCTAGGTTTGTGTAAGTGCACTCCATGATGTATACACAAAGATGAAATCATCTAATGATGCATTTCTCAGAATGTATTCCCCCTCATTAAGTGATGCATGCTCTATGGAGAAACCTCAGACCAATAAATTAATGATCATTCTCAGCTGTCTATATCTATAGACGTGCAAGTTGAGCTCTTACATCTTTATTTTCCTTCTTAGCCCCTTTCCAAATGTTTAAGGTAGCAGATGCCAGTTATGCATGGTACCTTGGCTGGGATGCTATGGTCCAAACAAGAAGGCTGTGGCCATATGGCTATGGCTATATTGTGTCTAGGAATTATATATTCCTTTTATCAAATATTTATTGGCACC